GAACTCCGGGGTAATGTCCCCTACTCATATATGACCAAAAAATTTTAAATTCAGTACCTTAAAACCGTCCAGTACTCATGTACGGACACCTGAAAATTTTGATGGGAAAACTGTTAACTCAGGGACTAAAGCTGAAGGCTTTAATTTTAAGGGGATGTTTTCTGCTTATGTGCAACTAAAGGATTTTAAACTTAACTCTTCTTGTGTGGCCTTTTTTTGCGGACCAGCAACCTTCCATTTGTCGGGTCACTGAAGTCAACACCTATAACTGACATACCACACAGTTGCACAACTAACTTCCCCAACTTCGAGGGCCAATATTTCACAGGGTTAGCTACTTTGATTCCTTGCGATCTTGCCAGGGCACGAAAAGTGCAAAACGCATAATCGCACTGGCCCACCTGGTGCGCTCCAGCCAGGGTTTCCTCTACGAACTAAAAAAACACCCTTCTTTAAAAATCATTAGGACAACCTAGCAACCGATGTTGAAATTTCACGCTAATGTTGTAGCCGGAATACGCACAGAGCCACTATTCTTCACTCTTAAACACCTTCAGCTACTGCCCACTTCCTGCTCAATGTCCGCCATCTTTTCAGAGCTCGCTGGAGTGGTTGTCTGATTTCTTGGGTACACAGGTAATATTTAATACCCGCCGATTATAAAAAGACAAGCAACAAGTCTTGTTCATCGGATTTTACATTCTAGCGAATCTCAATGACATTCTGCATGTTGCTCATCTCAAAAAATGGCCGACTGCTTATAGGGTCGTGAAGAAACATTCAAAGAATCCTTCGCTCTATTTACTGTCTCCGTACACTCAGCTTTCGCTCTTTCACTTACTCAGTGACCACGCAACAAGCACCAGCTGGGCAGAACTGCACAAAATGCTTGATCGCACCAACTGCCCTGGTGCAGGCTGCTATTTATTGTTTTGTTTTTCACAGGCAACAATATTACTAATGCGCAACATGGATTATTTTGAGTTTTGTCCCTTTGCATGTTCTTCTCTTCTTTGACAGCATTTTCGCAACATCGACGGTCCTATAATCCCGCTGTTCAGTTCGAAAGCTCTCGGCCTGTTTTGAATTCAGTAGGCTTATCAACAGGGCATTTGTAGTCCTGGCACAGCTTCAGCGTAGTAGCACATGGTCCTTTTCGTTTCGAAACTTTGTGGTCACCGATGAAGCTCTACTGATAACTGGGACCTATGAATAATTTCCGAGCGCAGAATGTGGCACATATTTACTTCTTGGCCAGGAATGACTGAAATGGCAGCTTTTTTTAAGTCAGTATTGTCCATTTATCTACGTCGTGGGAAGTCTCATCATGGTGATAAAAGACGCCTTCGGCTGCTCTTACATTTACATCCAGCGGCAGTAACGTAATGACTTTCTCTCGCTCTTATTTCTTTGTTCTCTCATATGATGCACAAAGTGTTAACGTAAAACTGTTGGTATTTCAAATGCTCTTGAACGAGATTTTTCAAAAAGTGCTTTCGAAATCTGTCTAAAAATATGAAGTTGGAAAAAAGGAGAAGGTTCTAAAAGAAGTGATTAAGCAACATGCTTTGAAAAAAATTAGAATAAAATTTCAAAAGGCCCTTCCAGTACAAACTTGGACCAGTGGTGATTCACAGTTTTTATGTGTTTTTTGCAGCAATGCAATGCGAAAAACGCATACTGACGAGAGGTTGTGTGTGTGTGTGTATTTGTGTGTCTGTGTGTGCGCTGGGCTTCTGTACCGATTTTTCATCTCGAGACCGGCAAAAGCTACTGGGCTGAAACTTTGGGAAATTAATCTACATGCACGTACGGGCCCCTATCCCCAAAATGAGCGGTCTTTCCCGCGCGGTACCCCCGTAAGACCCCGCCAAAGTTTTTTATGGGGAAACTGATAACTCGCGAACCAGAAAAGATAGAGAGCTGAAATTTTATGGGAATGTCCCCAGCCCAAATAGGTACTAATGAGCTCAAATCTAGCTCCCGGGTAAGCGTGGTACCCGCGTACGAGCCCCCAAAATTCTTCCCGCGTAAATTCATAACTCGGGGTTCTAAGATGCTAGAGAGCTGAAATTTTATGGGGATGTTCCCCGCTCAAGAAGGTACTAATGAGCTCAAATCCAGTCCCCGGGTAAGCGTGGTACCCGCGTACGAGCCCCCCAAAGT